CCCCCCCCCAACAAATTCAAGTAAAAGGCATTGATTCCAAACCATTTTTCTTCATGAAATAATGAAAACCGTTGTTCTTATATTCCCTTCAGGTCATACCAATTCTATAAAACGATCCTTCATTACGTTTTGTTGAAACAATGTTCTACAAAAACAATGGCAAGGAGGAAAGAACACATGGCCCGTGGGTTTGGAAGGGGAGGGGGGGGGGATAATCACTAACTGTGAATGAACTTAATAAAAATGCTTTATTTAACAGACCAACGTTTTCCTGTCGCTTTCCAGATTCGAACCCAGGACTTATTGAATGAGAGGCAAAAACAGTCACCCCCCGCCCCCTCCCCCTCCCCTTCCTGTTTGACGAACTCTACAGTACAAATTAAAAGTATTTTTGTAGACTTCAAATATAACATTATTCTAATTATTTATTAGTGTTAATGTATCAATGTGTCACGCACTCTCTTCCTCCGCCGTAATGTTTAATCTTTTATTTAATTAATAAATGCATTGCGTTGCACAAAAATAATATTTTATATTATGGTTATCCAGCCCACGCTAGGAATAATTTTAGTACCCGGCCCACGTTCAAAGTAGTTTGATGACCCCTGCGTCTTAAACTATAGAACTAATTTACCATCGTTTGCTTCATCCGTTGTAAAGTATCAAATTTTAGCCAATATGACATTATATATATTTCTTAAAGTGCTTCCTTCCTCTGAAAGTGTAGTTTATCGTGATTATATTATATTTTATTCACAGACGCAAAAGACCACTGATAAGGTTGAAGTAATTTCTTGTAGCAAGAGCTACCAGATACTCAATCAGCTCGAAAAGTTGATACAATCCTAAAGAAGAATATTAATTTACGTGGACTTTGAGGGGGGGGGGGGGGAGGAGGATTTACGTTAAAGCTTTTAAAAAAATCTGATAAATGATTTCCTGCTTTGTGAGGACTTGGAGTGATTTGACCTCTTCCTGTTTTCAGGAAAGCTTTCAAAGAGTAAGTTTTGTTTTCACATATTTTGTTTTTTCTTCTGTCTTATGAGGATGCGGTGGAGGAGCAGTGTTAGTGCGCTCGTCTCTGAGGCGAAAAGTCCGGGTTCGAGCCTCGGTTTGGACACAATTTTTTTCCCCGCTCTCCTACCCACCCATGAGAAATGGATACCGGACTTCGAGTTGGGGAAGTGAATGCGGCGTAGAAATAAACTGGCCACCATACCACAATATGCCGAAGGCCCAGGAAGTTGTCTCACTAGCAAGGCAATCCCCATTGTCCGGATCGGGTGCTGGAAAAACTTTACTTTTGACTTATTATGCTACCTACAGAAGAATAAAAAAAACCCTCAAAATCAAGAGGTGGAATGGGCTCTTTTTTTTGTTTTTTTTTTAGCGGTGGTGGTGGAGAGGAGCTACGACATGACGACAAAGCAACCCCCCCC